GTATTTGCTGTGACAGGAGGTGAGCATGGACCAACCTCTGTCAGATAAATTCCAGATACATTTGTGCTCTAAGTAAAAGTGGAGATAACTCAGCTATAAATGCCTGTTTTTCTCTTGGGGAATAGAGACCCTGTGAGGGCAAGAAAAAGCCTCCCAGCAATTTCAGTAGTGGCTGGTGATCTCAGCTCTGTTCACCTAATGAAACAAAACACAAATAGAAACATTTTCGAATGAGAAAGTTTGGATAAAAAATATAGATTAGGATGAATGAATGTGACAGTAGAACAGCATCTTCTCTTCTGCTCAATTGGAGAGCTGCAAAATCAGGACCCAGAGCCACATCATGATGAAATTTCACTTTAAGATGTTAAGGGAATGCCCATAATTAGGATTTGTTTAAAATTATTATTATTATTTTCATTTTACTTTCTTTTCTTCAGTTAAAGCTTTCAGAAACCTGTGAGCAAGAATATATTTTTCCTGGGTAGTTCCAGGATCCCCAGCCTCAAATTAGAGTCAAAAACCCTTTGCAAGAGCCAAATCAGCTCACAAGACCATCTATCACAGAGCAACAAGCAAAAACTCGTATGAATTGCTGTCAGTGGTGAAAAATCCCTTTGCCTTTGAAAATACTATTAACAGAAATAACACTGAGCATGATGCCCCTGTCCTTCCAGCACCATAATGCGGTGTTTGGCCGCTTCTTCCAACTCCAATTTCAGGACGGGATTTTCAAAGATGCAGTGTTCTGGCTTCATTTCAATTCTCGTGAGGACAATGGAAGATTTCAGTGGGCTCCACGTATGACAAATGTGGAAAGCATTTGAGTCTCTTTGTATTTCCTCTTTTTCTGTCCTTTTTTTTTTTGTGTGTGTGTGTGTGTGTGACTGAAAAAGACTTGAGAACACCAATATACTGAACCAGGTCCAAGAATCTTTTGTACCTCTTGGCTGCTGTTTGCTTACTCTCTAAAGAAATTAGGCATCAGAAGACTTTGCTGATCTGATCTTTAGCTCAAGCTTTGGAGATGGGATTTGTAACTCCTGTTTTCAACCATCAGTGAAGCTGAAGGTGAAAATGATTACATTAACAGGGTAATACCAAGACAAACAGGTTTTCTTTGCTGAGTTTGACACTGCACGCATTGCTGTCATTAAATTTCATTTCATCCCAGTGGAATGGTAGCATTCAGGATGCCAGATTGAATTTTGGATTGGTTTTGTCGATGATCAGTTTGAGCTCTCCCTGATGTCATCACTGGCAAATTTTGACTTTGATCAGAGGTTAATGAATTCACAGCAGACTATTGCCACAAGTCTGCAGTTTTCAGATCTTCCAGCACAACAGTTATTTGTATTGATAGAAATTGTTGTACTGGTAGAAACTGTTGTCTGATATCTTCCAAAGTAGTTTGAGTGTAAGCCATATCCACATGTGACTGTCACACCGACTCTCCCAGCACACTTGCCCCAAGGAGGCAGCTGCTCTACCAGCATTACTGAATTGGCAGGACATGGAACTGTCCTGCCAGTATGGAGTAAATGAGCCCAAAATTTCAACAAACTTGTAAATATTAATTCATGAACGAGCACTAACCTAAAGCTGCCAAGACTAATTCACTCATGAGTAAAAGTGACCTTAGGAAGCGAGGCCAGGTTGTCAGGTGGAAGGCACAAGTCACCTGCCCTCGTCCCTATGGCATGGCCCATGGACAGGGCTTGGAGGTACCCTTGTGGAGTCACAGTGGGACTCGTGGAGTTCAGCAGCACCTTGTGACTGGGAGAGCTTCCAAGAGGAAGGCTGCAGAGTGGAGGAGCAGGGAGACAGACCTGAACTGTCCTTAAGTGCAAGGATGACTGAATCCAGTTGAATCTGTTATGATGTTGATGCACTTGTACAGGCATTTCACTGCATAGAGACTCCCTGCTTCCCTGAGAACGTTTTTTTTCTTCCCTTTTCCATAACACCTCAGCAATACTTAGAGTACCAGTGCAACAATTTATTCACACTGAGTTTGACTGTGAAACAAATGCAATGACTTCAGACCAAATCAGGACCTAACGCAGCAACATCAGCTGTTAGAATATTAAGAAAAAGCAGTTATTTACTTGATGTGAGCAATAGAATTTCTCTCTTACAAGTTGCTATGTGCAATATCTCTGGAGTATAGGGGTGGTAAAACCAAAGAACAAATACTGGAAAGCTGTGTTTGACTTCTGAGTGATGTTAAGCCTTTTCAAAGATGAACCAAATCTTCAAAATTCAACTCAAAGCAATAAAATTTCAAACCAGGGAAAATCATTTTTCCAGGAATTGTTTTGCATATTTTAAAAACGATGTGAACAGTATTAGTTTCCTATTTACAGCACGATTCTGTACTCTTTAGCTTATCTCTTTTAAACATGTAATTATTGTATATTGTAACTGCACATTAATATCCTCTACTGTACATAGTTTATTTTAACAAAATAAATGTATTACTAAGTATTTTGACAGCATCAATTGAAGAAGGTGTGCTGCTCTACCTATTGTCCCAGAAGCTTATCAGACAGGGAAAACACACCCTGACACATACAATTGCTTTTGCACGGTCCTGGAACCACCTGCAGCTTCCTGTCTCCCCTCCAACAATGCAAAACTTCTAACAGGAGGTGACACTGGTGGTACAGAGCTTTGAGAAGTCTCAGGCACATCCCTTTCAGGAAACTGCTCCTTAACCAAACTCTCTATAGAAAGGAAGGTGGAGAAGTGGGGGCTTGATGTAGTTGGTTTGTGGCTCTTCCAAATGTTACTTTCTATTCTCCTCTAGATAAAAGGTTCTTGGCATTATTGTTTGTGGCCTCCACTAAAATACCACAGCACCAACAAAATTTTTTTTTCTCCCCTGAGTGAGTATTTAAAGTGTTTTAGAGAGAAGCCAGTATGTTCTGGCCTTGTAGACACAGGAGCTCTCTTGGTAAAGCAGCTAGGAAATGCATTAACCCAAGTGTTGGGATCTTTGAGAGGAGGTTGTAACCATCTAACAAACCCAACGTGTGGACAACAAAACCTTCAAACAAACCCATAGCAGTGGCACTGAAGATGATGAGCTGCCTAACACTTGGCTCAGATGTGAGACAAGACAGGGAGAGGCAAGAAAGAAAGGACAGTGGTTAGAGGGCTGAAAAAATTACATGAGGAAAGATAGTCCTTAAAGACAGCACTGGAATGAAGATTATGACTAGCTCTTCTTTTCTCAAAACTCAACACAAAATATCAAGGAGGGGAGGGGAAGAAGGGAGATGCTGTCTTCATTACCCAGCTTTTCATTTCCACACCAGAAACTATTCCATCAGCCAGCTAGTCTAGTCTTCAAATTGAGACCATAGCCACCACTATTCATGAACAGTACTCCCACCTCTGACTGGACTAAAGCAAATTGCATAGGACAAGGGGAAATGGCCTCAAGTTGCACCAGGGGAGGTTTAGGTTGGATATCAGGAAACACTTCTTTACAAATAGAGTTGCTAAGCACTGGAATAGGCTCCTCGAGGAGGTAGATGTGTTTAAAAACCATTTGGATGTGGTGGTCAGGGACATGATTTAGCAAAGGGTTGTTAGTTAGGGTAGTATAGTTAGGTTGTGGTTGGACTCGAGGATCTTTAAGGTCTTTTCTAACTTAAGTGATTCTATGATTCTATGAAAGCACTGCGTGACTGCAATTACTGCTGTTCACATTGGAAGAGGGACACAAATCCAAGAAGCAGAGGGAACAAGAGAGACATAGCCTTCTCCAAAATGCACTGGGGGAAAAAAATGGCTGTCACTCCCACTGTCCAGAAGGGAAACTGAGGCACAGATAATTCCACTGGTTTCCCCTTCTCACCTGGCGTGTTGATGGCAGTGCCGAGATCCAACTTGTACAGTCATGCTTTTTCCATATTTGCACCTTCTCCTTTCTCAGCAAGTAGGTGCAACCACCTTCCTTCTTTGGCTGCAGCAGTATTTCAAGCTGGGAATGGCTCAACACTCAGGCATTCTCTCTGGCCTCTCTGCAAGTACCATTCTCACAGGGACATCAAGTTCCCTTCTACACGTAGGGCATGATTTCTTTCTCTTGTTTTAGGTAGTGGAAGTCATGACAGATTAAACCTTTCAAGTGGTCTTCGTGGCAGTTCATGAAGATTTCTGCCTGGTGCTTCTGGTCGGTGTTCAGGTGAAGGGAGTAATCAATGATTCCAAGTATCAAAATTAGTGAAAATTTACCACAATGAAGACCTACTAGCATAAGACCTAAAAAAAAAAGCCTGAGATTTGCAATGACCAGCAACAAGAATGAAGAGAAGCTGTAAATGCCCCATCCAGGGCATTTATATTGGACCAGGTTGGATGGGGCCCTGAGCAGCCTGATGTGGTGAGAGGTGCCCCTAGTCATGGCAGAGAGTTGGAACTGGATAGTGTGTAAGGTTCCTTCCAACTCAAACCATTCTCTGATTTTGTATTTGTATTGTATGAAAGGATGTACATTCACAGTAAATCCACAGCATCTCCATTCACTTTTGCTCTTCTCCATAAAAGACCATCCAGAAGTGTTAGCTGAGATTCAGTCAATACATTCTTCCCACACCTCCCCTTCCGCCTCCCAAGTCTGGATTCTGCTACATCAATCAAAACCATCCTTCACATTGTGCAGTGTTTTCTTCCAAACACTTGCTTAAGGTTTCTACTGCCTCACCATATCTGGGTACAGCCTGTATTTCTCGCTTGTTGCAATGGAAGGAAGTTGTCACTTTGGAATCCCATTTCTAATCCTAAAATTATGGCACAGCCAGACTCTGTAAGAGAAATCCAGCAAAGGAAATGACTTTGCATTAGGATCGAGGAGATGTTTTGCAGGTGTTCACAGCTCTGGCAAAGAGTTTGTAGGAGCTGACATATATTCTGTGTGAGAAAGCTTTATGCATCAATAAAGAAGGACTCATTGATTTAAATTGCATCCATAATACAATATAGGGGTTTTATTAAGGACACAAAATAATTTGTAGGTTTTCCATAATAGTTGTGATGCTGTGTAAAACAATAACAAGATTAGAGAGATGCAATTTGAAAGAAAACAGAAGGACTTTTTTAGGGTCCTTAAAGGCAGTTAAACTCACCATCACCAGAAAACTGCTTCTGCTGCTGTTTGACATGGAATTCAGAGCTACTGAAGGCAGATGATAAAATGTTCTCCTTTCCACTTAGCCACAGGGCAACTTTCACAGTTCCACCGACAAAACATGACAGCAACTAATACATTGCAGATCAGATTAAAAACAAAAAGATCTGTCTCAAGGAGGATAAGGCACTTGGGGAAGTTTCAGGCACACAACTGTGGGAATGGAGGAACTGCATCCAGAAGACACTTAATCAGAGCGGAAGGCAGGTGCTGACATTCTCTCAGCAGCAGTTCTCTGCTAATGGCTATCTGAGTTGTCTTTGTTTGTAAGCTCCTGTGACTCTCTTGCACTTGGCCAAATTTTGATGTTTTCACATCATTTCCTATTTTGTTCAGGGGGGAGAAATGAGGGATGAACATGAATCTGTCCTCCTCCAGGTGGGAGATGGAGGACTAAGGCACTTACACAGCTGTGGTCACCAGAGGGGGGATGCTGCAGCAGCTCCCATGCACCCCCCAGTCTATAGACAGTGGTTCTGAAGAAGGTGGTGTGGACCAGCCTTTGGCATGTCTGCTGCTTTCCCTGCCCTGGGCCTGTCCCACCCGTGCTGGCTGCATTATTTGCTATCAGACAACTCCTCAGCTCTCCCATGAGCACTTCTGTCTGCCTTCTGTGCATCTCCTGAGAAGCAAGTCCCTGTCTGGTTGAGCAGTTAAGGGAAGTGTGGGAAACACCCCCATAGCCCCCTCTTTCCCATTACCTTGGCCAAGGCTTGCTGAAACTGAACCACAAGCACTACATTTTGGCTTGGTCCCTCTAACTCTGGAAATTGTCAAGAGAGGACTTTAGGGTTGTGCAGAGCCTCTCTGGTTTTACATGAAGCCAATTCTTCTTCTGGACAGTCCTGGACAAAAGCATTACACATTTAATGTGCTTCTTTCTGCTTTTTAAGAAGTCATCTCTTGTAAGGCAAGATTTTTTTCAGCAGAAATGCTCCAATTAAGCAAATCACTGAAATACGCACTTAGCTGTAAGTCCACAGATATTAATCAAACCTCATCTGCCAGAAAAGCCAATGATTAGGAGCATTAGATGGCGAGACCAAATTCTGGGCTGACCCACACGCTCTGAGACAGCAGGGGTGTAGAGCCAGGGAGGAACTTGACCTGGGGAAGGAGAGCTCAGCTTGGTCTCATTGGCTGAGTTAGGGCTTAGGGTGTAATTTCAAGTTTGTGATTTGATACCCATTTCCATTTTATTGTCTGTACGGCCTTTTCCTTGACAGATATTTTTGACAGATCTCAGCGTAAGAAGAGCAGAAGGGGCAAGAGGGGGAAATGTTGGTAATTCTTACATTAGTGGGAAGGTACTAAAACTAAAAAGAATAAAGGCTGTTCTACTGGCTGTCATGCATTTATGGCCTGTTTCCAACCCCTCTGTGACTATTCAGTCCATGTGCACTTTGTGCATGAAGAAAGGTCCCGCTCTATGTAGAGCCTGGAAGGAAGGGAAACAGCATCAATTTTTCTTCCATAGGATTTGCTATTATAAGGCTGCGTTCTACATTTCTACAGAAAGGGAAGAGGGAACTAAACCTCATCTGCCAGAAAAGCCGATGATTAGGAGCATTACATGGTGAGACCAAATTCTGGGCTGACCCACACCCTCTGAGACAGCAGAGGTGTAGAGCCAGGGAGGAACTTGACCTGGGGAAGGAGAGCTCAGGCAGTCTCACACTCAGTGGTGGCCGTAGAGCAGAAGTCACAGTTGCAGCGTATGGCAACTGGGTAGGTGTAGAAGGGATCCACTCCAGGGGCACACTTGGGCAGCATCACTGTCACCAGCTTGGTCTCATTGTAGGTGCAGACACGGTGGTAAGATTCAATGTAAGGCGGCTGCAGTATTGGCCTCTGTGGGTGAGAAATGAGGGTATCAGGCAAGATGTGAGACAAACATCGGGGTCCCTGGTTTTCTCAAGAGGAATAAACAGCAGAGCCACTGGATCAAGATGGAAGGGGCCATGGAAACAGCAGCAGTCAGGTTGTACGTCCTGCAAAGCCCAGCAGATACATGCCATGGGGAGTCCACCTGGCAGCACTGTAGGCAGCACTGAGGCCTGCAGTTTTTCACAAGATGAACAGCTTGGCCAGAAACCTCAACCAACAAAAAAAGACAGTATCCTGAAGTCCCTGAACACCAAACTCCCACGTGGAACTATGGGTGGCATGGATTTTGCTGAAAAGTGATGTTTTCCCCAACGGAAGCACCTGTTTCCAAAGACAGGACTGGAGGGAGCCCACTACAATCCTCTCCCTCACACAGATGGGAAACAGCCTGAAGTAAAACAGCCTGGAGACATTTAAGCATTTTCTTTCTTTCTGTCTATGCTGTGTGAAAAGCCTGCCCCAGGAGCAGAGAATGATGGCACGGAAAAGAACAGATGCCATGTTTCAGCAAGAAGATATCCAGACACCCTCCCTCTTACCAGCTCCTCCACCCAAGCACACCATGAGGCTCTGTAGAAGCTGTTGAGCCTGCAGCCAGATGCATTCAGCTTAGCTACATCCCTGTGGTATTTCACTCTGCAGTCATTAGAACTTCCCGGAATAAATTAAACCGGGTTTGGCCCCTTGAGCCATTCAGTGACAGAAAGGCCATAAGAGTCAGCAACTTGCTGTCTGAAGTGTGTACAGACTCGTGCTCTCTTTCTGCCCCTCTACACCCCCAAAGCATAACTACTTCATATTGAACTGTGATTTAAAACAAGCCCAAATTAGAAACAGACATTATCTTTGGCATCTGTTGTTTTGGAATAAAATATATTACCCCCCCAACCAAGGGCTCCACCTTAATCTCAAAGGAATTTTCTTCCAGTAAAGTAATATAGGCCTCCTCTCCTTAAGTGTTTGAGCTTTAAGAGGCTTCCAAATTGCATAATAAGAGTATTACGTAAGCACTTCATTAACATCATCACACGAGGTTCATCCCCTTTGAGACAGCACAAGGAGGGAGGGAACCAATTGCAGCAAAGCGCTGCAGTGGGATCGCAGAGCAGCACGCGCTCCTTGACTATCTCACTGCTCAATGCTTTTTTCTCTGGGAAAGACTCTCACCTCCCAGGTCTCGCAGCGTCCCCAGCACGCATCCGTGGTGATCCGCAGTGCCTTGCAGCCAGGCTTCTTGGCCACGAAGGTGAACTCACGCACGGCACAACCGATGAAGGTGCGCAGGTCGATAGCAGAGGTCTCCGTGCCTCCATGGCCAGCCAGCAACAGGAGGAGCAGAGCACCCAGGGTCACACAGGGGAGCTTCATTCTGAGGTAGAAGGGAGAGGAGGGTTGGGAGAGCCAAGATGGTGGCATGATGCAGGGGCCAAGAAGCCCCAAGTGCGTGGATTCAGCCCAAGAGCTGTGATGCCCCTTCTTCCCCTTGGGCGCAGTGTTCCTCATCTTCACTCAGCTCAAGAGAAGACAGAAGATAAGGGGTTACCTGCTGCCAGAAGGGAAAAGTCTTATTGCAGCAGCCTGAATGCAGTGGCCACTGAAATCTCCAAATTGCAAGCTTATCATGCAGCAAATGCCTTCCTATCAGTTAGGCTGCCCTAAGCTTGCACCAGGCCATAAGTGATGAGTATTGGTTGCCATCTCACTGCACAAATATAGAGAGGTCAGCAACTCCTAAAAGCAGTATTGGTGCTGCCAACACCAGCACCCCAGCACTCATCAGGTGCTGGGTCATGAATGCAGCCCTTTTTTCCCTTCTTGCACTCACCACCACCGGTCAAGATCTAACTCCACCAAGCCAGTGAGCAGGGCTGGTTGGATAGGGATGGATGTGGCCAAGGTGACCAGAGGAGGCCCTCTAAACAGCCACCATCAGTCAAATCCCTCTGGTACTTGCTGCCTTTCAATCTCAAACCTTTGATGAACAAAGCAATCAGTCTCTCTGGAAAATTTTCAAAAAGAGAAAGAAATGGAATGTACCTCAAGCTGTAAGCCATCACATCCACTTTATACCTCATATACTTGCCTTGCATTTAAATCCACCTAGAAACCCCAGACTTGACATTTAACTTAGAGGGAGAAGGTTACCTACTCGACATGGTTTGCAGCCCTGCGCTGAGGACAGATTTCACATTAAAGAGCTTAGACTTCTTATCTTGTATCTCTATGCTCCTGTTATACTACATGATTTAAATTAGCTAAACTGGAATTCTAGATCAGTATATGGTCGTGGTGTTTGCCACAGTGAACCCTTCATATTCGTTGACCTACAAGCTTGAACAATTAAAGAAGAAAGCTAAATTTCTTTATTTTTAATAGAGACATTTAAGAGCAAAGAGACGACCTTCCAAAAAAATTGAACACTTATTCTTCACCACCTTAGCAAAAACCTACTGCTTTATTCATGAGCCAGAGCTGTGACACTAAGCAAACACAGAAGCACACTCACCCAACTTGTTGGAGTCAGATCGCCTTCTGCAGCTTTAAATTGCAGATGGTGTTTCAGGATGTCAGAAGGAGCAGCAAGAGATCTGCACAGCAATTTTTGTCAGGTTTCTGCTGACTAGATCTCCTTCGCAGCTGCTATGGGGCTGCTTAATTGCACAGATTTATAGAAAGGGTCTTGTCAATCAAGGCAAGACAGAGGCAGATCCGTACATGAACAACCCAAGGCATCAAAGTCATTGACTGTGAAGCAAGCTGCTCCTTTCCAATAGTGATTATCTTAAAGCATACTGTTTCATAACACCAAACCTGAAACAAAAGGAATATCTTGGTGAGTGACATCTGCTAATAAAGCAATGACTGTGCACTGAGGCAAATGTGATCTTCGTTTCCACAGCAGATATGCAGTACCCTTGCAAAGAGATTGTAGGCTGCTTCCTGAAATAACCATTACCCTCTTATTTAGCAAATACTGAGTAAACAGCCTGAAGGAAAATGTGGCAAATGTTTGTGCAAACAAAATTCTGAATTTTTGTCAACAGCATAAGACCTTTTTTATATGACTGCTCTGTACAAGCAAGGGCAACAGATGGGGGAGAACAAGAACCTGTCACACAGGTAAGCAGCCCTGAGCAAAGGAAATGTGAAAACTTCGTCCATTAACTGCACCATGCCAATACAAGTTCCAGCTACTTACGGGATAGAAGGAAGCTGAGGAACCTTGGTAGGAGGAAAGACTTACCAGTCAGTGAGTTTCTTAAACACGAGTGAGAGAAATGCATCCATAAACTCCCAGTGCAGCCTCAGAAAGTCAGACTCTCCTCCTCGCTACTGGACAGTGATTTCCCAGTTCTGGATGCTTTAGCAGCCAAGCACATCATCAAGAGGCCAAGTGTCAGTGGTTACAGACTGCCTGGGGTGCTGCTGATCCAGACAGCTACAGCAACACAACCCAAAACTGAGAAGAGAAAATGACAGAGAAAACTTTGGTTTAGATCAGCTCCATCCTATGATGTTTGAGAGAAATGAAATAAAACACCAACTGTTGTTGTTGTAGAATCATAGAAAGGTTTGGGTTGGAAAGGACCTCAACCATCAGCTAGTTGAGTTGAACCCCCTGCCACAGGCAGGGTTGCCAGCCACCAAATCAGACACCAGATCAGGTTGCCCGGGGCCCCATCCAAGCTGGCCTTGAATGCCTACCAAATGTATACTTCTGCTGGGTTGCATTCCAGCCTTCTGTAGTTTGACCTGGAAACCAGCAACAAAGCATTGAGTCAATGTGACAGTGAAGCACACAGGAGCAAACAAGGTATGTTGCATAGATGTTCTCGCTGTTTCAGGGTGAATAACCCATGGTTTGGGGTCCTGGTTTCACTTCCAAAGTCAATAGCATAAATTTGGAGTAATAGCAGGACTCAAATTCAGACTAACACCTTGTGGAACCCACAGAATTCTTCCTTTCCTTTACTTTTCAGCTTGAAACAGCCACTGCTTGACTGTTTTTCTTGCTGGCATGTGGCCCTGCTATTTCCCCGATCAGTAAATTACACTTGGTTGCATGCAAACACACTGATTTGTATATGGCTTATTATTTGCTCCTGAGATTTACCATTTCTCTCTAAATTAGGAAATGGCAACTGGAAGAAATGAAAGAGGAAAATAATTCTGTTGTCTGCAGACTCAGACTGACCTCAGGACATTCTGTATAGCCAAGAGCCACTGTCTCTTCTTTAGAGATGACACATGGTAGCAGAGCCTAGATCAGATTCTCAGCTCAGGTAAAGCTAACAGGATGTGCTGTTGTCAGCACCAGCACAACACTGTCTAAATGCTTCACCTACTTTCATGCTTCCCTTCCCCAAAGTTACTCCAGGTTCAAATAAAGACCCATCAGGTGAGATGCTGGAGTATGGAATAGAGGAATTGCAATGGATTCCATTGATCTCAGCACCACCCACATCCTGGTACCTTTCCTCTTACTGAAACCAAGTCTTGTCACTGATCTAAAACTGTTAGCAATTTTCCACCAAAAAATCCTATGATTTTCTGCTTATTTCTTTGACATCACAGACCAAGAATAAAGCTATTATAAAACAAACCTTTATAAACTTTCTTACAAGCAGAGAAACCAGGCAAAAGTGAAAATATTGATCAAAATTTTCCTTCCTTTGATTCCAAAAATGTGCCAGCAAAAGTCATCCCAAGATTACAGCCAGCCACAGGAAATACATGCCAGATGGCAGGCCAACCAGCTTTGACAGATTCTCCTTCTCCTATGGATTAGGAAAACAGGGGCTGGACTTCTGCTCTGTGTAATCCATTTTGGATTCACTGACTTCTGCTGAGATTCTGTTCCTGTCTTCACTCCTACTGAAAAACCTTGTGATGTGAAGTGAGAGACAAATTGCAAGCTGACCCTGCTCACTTATTTTCTCTCCTGAAAGTCCTGTCTATTTATGGGGCAGATGCTGATTTCTGAAGGATTTGTACCACATCTTATGAAAAGCATGAAGGCTGGCTTTTTTCCAGGTAATATTTTGTTGGCTTTTCTTTTTTTTTTTAAGGCAAATTAACAGATACTCCATCTACACGTACACTTGGCCTTCAGTGTACAACAGAAATTTAAAAGCTGCATATTTTTATTTTCCCCATCTGGTTCAAATTTATTTGAAATAAAGGGTGACAGAACCCTTTATTCAAAATAAAGGCAGATACAACTTCTAACTATGAGTGTGCCCACCATTTAGCTTCCCCTTCCTTTTTTGAAACAGGACACAGAAAGAGATTGACTAGAGGAGGACCTGTGTTGAAGATGGTGCATCCACTCATCCATTCAGGCTTGTGCAGCTTTTCCTCTGAATTCTGGACAGGCAGAGCAAAGAAATCAAATATGCTGTTGAAGGTGTCAGGGTTATCAGTGCTGGTAGCTTGCAGCTTGTCTGCTCATCATTCAAGATCAGGTGAATCTCAGAGGCTTTGCAAAAGAGCTGCTGGGGAAGCATGAAGCAAACTTACACACTGTGTAACATCAGGGCTTATGAAGTAGTGTGGCCTTAATTCAACCATTTCCCAGTTAAACCTGGGACTCAGCACAGCAACTCCGCTGGCTCCTGGCTGGTTTTGCCAGCAGGGAGGCTGCCTTGCTCCTGACCTGGCCCTTCACTGACCCGTTGTTAGCACAGGTGCCAGCATAGAGCCCAATGCACACCAAGAAGCTTTCTGGAAAACAGCCTCTCTTGTTTAAAAGACTTTGGGGCTCTCAGCACGGGCATTACCACAGCTACAAGAGCGCTTGGACATGTGTAGGCTGTTCACTGCCTTTTGGACGAGAATTCCTGCTCAACCTTTCCCTGTCCGCTCTCCCATGTACGCAATACCAGGTGCTATTCAATTCAACACCACATGATCCAAAACTAAAAGTTATCCAAACAGATTAACATTAACACTCTAATTCTCATCCATGCAAGGACTATTTAATCCCATCCCTGTCCCTCAGCAATGATCCCCACAACTTCAAACACGCCCTAATGTATTTTCCTTAGTACTGAATAGTACTTAGTACTGAATATCCGTAACTTTGTCTGGACACAAATACTCCAGGTACTATAAGCAATCAGCCTGCATCCTAATTAACTACAAATTCAGACAGAGAAATAAATAGCAGGGGGAGAAAAGGTGAGAGCTCATACAAAAGCAAAGTAGCACTGACAATAACTGTTAGTATTTTGTGTAATATTTGTAGCAAATTAAAACAAAAACCACTCATCAACACTATTCTAACAAAACAGAAAACAGGTTTTCCAATGACTGCTTGTCATATTAGACATCAAACTTGTGGTTTCAGATTGAAAACATGGGTATTTTTCAACCTACAGAAATATCTAGGTTGTGAGCCAAATTTCTTTGTCTTTCTATCAGAAATAAACTTTCTCACTAAATTTTGTGGGATGGATACATTGCGCGAAGAAAAAAAAACCAACAAATTAATCAGCATCTTGTGGGTATCAATAACATCACTGAGTTTGGAGGAGGAACAGAAAACCAGACCTGATGGAGGTCTTACAAATGCTCTTCCTGGGATGCCTTGCAAGTAAAGAAATAGAGGAGAACATGGAGTTGAGAAGATGTCAATATGCTGTGTAATATCACCATATAAACAAGTTGGAGGAAGCAGGCTGCAGAAATAGGCAGGGAGGTAAAGAGTATAGAGTTAACTGACTAAAAGTTTAAGTGGACTCAGCCATGAGAAAGGAGATGAGATGTTACTTAATGAGTCTAAGGGGAGCAATAATGTTGAGCAGTCACACAAAGCACTGCAGGAGCCACGTGGAGGCTGAGAGGCCAAGAAGAAACTGTTTGCCTTTCAGGCAAGCCAGGCCAATGACTAGATAGGAGATCCTAATACACTGGAAATCACATAAAGGAGTTTACACAAAGAAAGAAGTTGTAGAGTAGTAAACACAAGCATATGAAACAAGGAAGAATTGAGGATGGTTCTCACCAACATCAGGAAGGATGGCTGTGGGTTCAAAAGTAACAGAGCAGGAAAAACAGACAGAGAAACAAGGTGGTTGGGCCAAGTTCAAAGGAACAGGCATCCAAGAAAGGTTAGGATTCTAGTTAGAATGGAGTGAATTAGGAAGCCAGGGCTGTGAAAAGATAGGAGATGAAGCCATGTGTGGCCAATGTAATTTGATGAAAAAAAGTTACGACCAGACACACTTTTGCAGAAGCTTTATCTGATGTTAGACTTTGCCTCAGTAAGTTGTTTTTCTCTTTGCTGGGAGATCTGAAAACAAACAAACAAACAAACAAAAAAAACCCCCCACCTTTATGTCCCAAGAACAGTATTGTGCACGAGTGTACGAACATTCCTTAATCCATCCTCCCAGCTGCTGCATGTGTATCCTGGAATATCACTTTCTGTCATCTGCTACATTTGTAAAGAATGTGATAAAATGATCTGCAAAAGGACTAACAGAATACGTTTAGCCTTGAAAGGGCATCTGTACATTAAAATCAAAAGAAGCAATTAAAGCTCAGAAATACTGACCCAACAGTGAAAGGATAGTTACAATTTAAAATTAAAAATTAAAAAAAGCGATGAAGAAGTTCAGTTTGCCTGATATCTGCCCCAGGCCAGGCCAGGCAAATACTGATTCAGGTCCCTCTTATTGAAGACTGAAAGGGTAGCAGTATCAGGAGTGCTGGCTGGCTGGAAAAAAGAACTCATACCTGGAATGGATGAGGAGGAAAGTAATGCCACAGTCCCAAGCCCAAGCTATGGAACTCCTTAGTCATAGTCCTCAGGAGGGTAAGGCAGCTCATTCCTTTAGGCTAGCCTGTCTTTGCTCCGAAAAAAATGCATTTGTCAAGAAAAGCTCCTCATAAAGAGGAATAAAACACCCCTAATTTGGGGAAAAATGGCATTGGCAATGACATTGGCAAACCAAGAAGAACAAATGCATTATATAATTACAGCCTGGAAAAAAAATACTTCAGAGGAAAAAGAAGGGTTAATTTAAGACAAACATACACACAAAAATGGGATCTGAAAACAACAGCCACCAAGTATGCTTACAATTGACCATGATTGACTAGCACACCCTGCAATAATGTGAAAACATGTCTAATTAACTCCCAAATCATCCTCAATACAGAGTTGTGCAGACTTCCCAGGAGAACACAGACTTCTGCTTGGCATAAAGTCCTTGAGTAATTCCCTGGTTCCTGCCAAGTTTTGAGGTCTTTTGACATCTCTAAGGCAAGGCAATACGTGGGTGAATGCAAAAATATATGGCAGCCTGTAAGTGACAGCTTCCAAGATTAGCATTCCTCTCAGTTCAACATTTCACCCTGTCTCAGGGGAAACTCAACAAGGTAAAATGCCTGAGCAACCTGAGCAACACCTACAGAACTGGGGCCAGAATAGGAAAAGTAAGCATTGATATAAACAAGCAGTGACACATTGTTAGAGTTCATGGGGAAAAACAAAAAAGAACAACAACAAAAATATTAACTGGTCTTAAAACATGAATCACAGAAAGGGGTCATTCTTTGATCACCAAAACACTGCATCTGCATTTCTGTGGATGTGTGCATCAAAACTGACACACGTTCCCTGATGTTGGGTAGAGGTTGCAACAGCAGTGCTCAGCAACATGGATCCAACCACACAACCTGTATCCAAAGGATTCCTAATCCCTGAACAATACTAGGCACTAGAAGTACGAGCATACCAGCACTATAATAAAATTACTATTATTCTGCCAAATTTGCTTCTAACAGCCAAAGGGCTTGATGGAAATAATAACTGAGGTGGATGAAATGTTGGACTGTTCCACAAAAAACCCAGCTTTTATTTTTTTAAGACAACCTGAGCAGAAACATAGCAGAACAGTAGTTATTTACTCAGATGACAGCACCATGTTTTACTTTTTTATTTTTCAGAATCCAAAATGGAAGATTTAAACACGCAGCACTTCACCCCCATGCTTTCTTTTTGCCTTTATCAAAGCTGTACTGAATAAATGACTTTGAACATCACACACTTCAACGTGTTCCTCAGTTCTCACGACTGCTTTTGAAAGCGTGCAAGTAGAATCATGGAACAGAATGACAGAATCATTAGGGTTGAAAAAACAGAATCACAGAATGGCCTGGGTTGGAAGGGAGCTCAAGGAATGAATCTCCAACCCCACCACCACAGGCAGGGCCACCAACCTCTACATTTAATACCAGATCTGGCAGCCCAGGGCCCCATCCAACCTGGCCTTGCACATCTCTAAGATCATCCAGTCCAACTGTCCACCTACCACCAATACTGCTCACTAAACCACGTCTCTCAGTGCCACAATCTTTAACCTGTCCTCAGCACATTTTCTTACCTGTTTATGGTGAGAAAATGTTTAGGCTGTTTAGGGCCATGATTCTGATTACACACAGTCCCTTGCAAATGAAGAATTCAAATCCAATGGAGTTGGCTGAACAGTGATACGGGTGAGAGCTGGGTGCTCTAATTGCACATCAGGTTATTGTCTGGAGATTTGCTCTCAGCTCACTGCAATGTGAAAAAAAATCTCCAATTAGCATAGATGCAATGTAAGTTATATGTGACTGCAACAACCGATTTAACTCAAATCACTTCTGCATTCCATAGCTTTTCTCTAATGGTCTTCTGAAATAAGACTTAAGGCTTTCATGATAGACTAGTGGGCAGTGACACAACTCCATTAATCCTCTTTCTGGGCTCAGAAAGATGAAACTTCTTAGAAAAAAACTACAGAAGTTCAAAGATAAATAAATCATCTCAACTCATTATTTTTCCCATTGTTCATGTCTTGCTCACTGGAAAGAAAGACACCTCATTTTGACACACATCACCACCAGTGCTAATGCTCTGTTTGCAACACTGCTTTGGTGACGAGTGAAGTCTACAAATTACACAAAGCTGGAAGTGAAGTCTCCTGAAACAAAGCTACTGTCTCTTCCTGTGAATCCTTTTAGAATAAGTTCATGGAATTACTGAACTAATCAAAATCCAGTCAGGAAAACAAATACAACGAGAGCCCCAGACCCTAAGAGGCACTTGGCCAAATCAAAGCTTGTTACAGCCGAGACCCAGACAGTAACCTGCAAGAAGTATCAGCAGCAGACAGAACAAAATCCTCCAGCCTGAACTCTTTTCACCCTCTGGGGAAATGTGAAGCTCCGTCAACAACACTCTGGAGTTCTCAGACTGCTTCCAGTCTGAGTTCATCACCCTGCTCCCAGTGAGTTTAATAGGCTCCTCGTGCTGTCATCCCATGTCACGGAACCAGCATGGCTCACAGGAACATAGGACAATACAGGAAAATAGGCTTCGTCAGGGCTGAGTAACAAACCTTAAGACCTTACAGAGACAACACAGGTTTGCCCAAAGGGTTGTCAGCAAGTGAAAAATTAACAGGACAGGAGCATGAGAAGATGCCTCCTTTTACCCATTAGTATAACTCTGCAGCTATCTTATGGCACTCATCCCACGTTCTTCCTGCAGGGATCTCTGTTGCAGTGCAGCTGGAGATAGACAAGCAAGTTCTTTGTGAAAGAAGAACATGCAGGCCATACCAAGAATGTATTTTGCACTCCCTTTTTTCTGCTTTTTGTTCTTTTACAACTATCATAAAACAATCTTGAATATCATCTCTTAGTCACAACCCATCTCAAAATCACCCTAGTAAGCCAAGCAAACAACAGGCACACTACTGCATGGCAATTTGTCCCTGCTACCACACATGCCATAAAATGCCAATACCAGCACAGAATGAATAAACGTCCTGTCCATGAAGAAGGTTCATACATACAGGGCTTTCCAAAACACAGCTCTGCTCTGTCCTGAAAAGGAACAGCTCTCTATCATTGCAAGCACATCCTTCATTATCACTTATAACTTACTTACAAATTCAGGAATGATAACTTACTAAAAACTGTTGATATTGACTTGACATGGGAGTTCAGGTAGGAGCCAATCACTTTCTGCATAGAAACTAATTGACACAGATTAACAGAAAGAGAACAACAAATTCAATTGCATGGTGCTATTGCTCTGTACCTCTGCTCTTCTCCCAGCACTTTACATTCAGCAGTCTTTGCAGGATGCGTCCAATTTAATTAGACTGGACAGATAAATCCTGATAGAAACAAAATGCTTTTGTCATTCAAAGACATTTCCAAATCGGAGAATAATTTATAAAAAAATTATAGTCAGACAAGACAAGCTTCATACTTCACAGGGCTTTATACTATATTTGTTTCGGACAACTCCTGCTGTATCTTCTTATGCTCTAAGGTCAAATATGTAAATCACGGTGCAGTGTAATTATTTCTTGCTTTGCTGGCAGCTGGCATGTGGTGGACAGATGCTGAAATCCAGCTGTTTAAATCCTTGATTAGCCATTGAAGTTGAAACCCAGCAGTGAAATGACTAAAAGGTATGTTTTCAGAGTAGCATGCCAAAACGTACCCCAGGGATTCCCATTCAAGTTGAAATACTGGAAGACTCTGAACCCCATCGATACGTAAAGAATACAACATACAGATGTTGCTTTATAAGGAAAATGCATTACAAATGACTCACAGATAAAGCTGGAAAGATTCTAAAATGCTGGGTTTGAGCCTAAACACCAGATTAGAAAATTAAAGGTATGCCTCGTTAGTGTCCACCCCGTGGAGACTGGTTCCAGGCACGGTCTGTATGCAACTCCGAGGATGACAGTCAGGTACCATTTTCCTGCCTTGGAGTGATATTTTCTGCCTAGCACAGAGAGCTGTGGTGGAACTAGCAACATGTCTCTGAAGAGATCGGTGACAATGACAGCTCCTGTACATTGAGTTTCACAGCCTTTTTCAACCGAGATAGTACTTCATTTATTTTTAATCCAAGGAGCTACAGTGTTGACAGAATGATGAACATTGGTTAACTTGTTATTTTCTCCCATTTGGTTTGCTTGATTACATGTGCAGGACTGTGTCCACGCAGGGTTTTGGGTTGAGGTAAAAGCCTGACAAACTTTCTTCTCATACTTAGGAGCAGGCAGCGACTCCAGGCCAAGCAGCAATGTGTTCTCCATTCCAACGCAAGGGCAACTAAAGAACAAGAAGGAACCTTCGTATCAGAGAGATGTGTGGGAATGTCACCCTCCAAAGAGCACTGCTTTAGGCACTGCATACACCTCCCTGCTCCTTCTGCTGCACTGTCCTCAGAACAGAGAGATCCCAACTTCTCTAAACCTGCAGAGGCCAGTTTAAAGGAGTCACACACCTATAGAGACTGGGAAATGATGGGTAACTTCCTAGGGTGCCCTTCTCCCTGAATTCCTATCAGATGGCAAGAAATTTCATTTGGGCTGCTTATTGCTGTAGAAAT